GTACCACCGACCTTTAATCTACCATTTAAAAAAAAAATTGAGGTGGAATTCATACAACATAAAAGTTAATCATTTTAAAATGTGCAATTCAGTGGCATTAATTACATTCACAGTGTTGTGCAACCATCACTTCTAGTTTTCTTTGTGTCTCTATACATTTACCTGTTTTGGATAGTTCAGAGAAATCATACAATATAGTGACCTTTGTGTCTGGCTTCTTTCACTTATATGGTGTTTTAAATGTTCATCCACATTGTAGCATGTATTAATACCTCATTCCTTTCTGTGGCCAAATAATATTCCATTATATGAATATACTACATTTTGTTTGTCCATTCATTTGTTGATGGACAGTTGGGTTATTTCTACCTTTTGGTTATTATGAATAGTGCTGCTGTGAACATTCGTGTACAAGTATTAATTTGAACATCTGTTTTTAATCTTTGGGGTATATACCTAGGAGTGGAATTGCTGGGTCATATGGTAATTCTGTGTTTAACTTTCTGAGGAACTGCCAAACTGTTTTCCACTGAATCTACATTTTTAGTCTGTGTTACCGTAGTCAAATGAGGACCGGTCATTGTTCCTAAAGCTACTATTTCACAGCTCAGGCAATTCCTTTGGTTTTGAATTATCTTCCCTTCTTTTCTATTTATTGAAATGGAAATTCTAACAATCATTTAAGGTTCAGTTCCAGCCCTCTCTCCCTCAGTTTTCAGTAAGAATCTCTACTACTTCTGCAAATTTCTATATTTCCTCCTCATTGTCTCTTTTATACCACTTATTTTATTCTGACTAGTTGTTTATATATAGATTATAAACTTGCTTGTAGAATTTATTTCTCTTTTATTCCCCGTGATCAAAATCAGTTTATTGCAGGTGTTTAATAAACACTTGTTGAGTGAATAAATCGCTATATTTATATAATCATTTTTTCTTATTTATTATAGGTTCTTTTTTTGCAAGTAATATGGACTAGAAGATATTACATTCTTATAATTCTTATTTCGGGGATGCTTGTTGGGCAAAATTCAGTGAACTTAGTGACAAGGGCAAGTCATTCTTTAATGTAGAGATATTTCTTCGATATAAGGCTGACTAAGCCAGCCTTTCTGAGCTTGTTCTTGTCTCTAATCCATCTAATGAGCACCTGGCATCTCATCTTATTCTCTGTCAGGTTCAGCCCACCCAGCATCATCAGTCAAGCTATCCTAATACTTTCTTTAAATAAATACTAAATAGCCTAGTATTTGGAATAAAACCCCAAACAACATTATAGAACAAGAAAAGAAATGAACTTAGGTCTGACCGAACCTTTTTGTAAACTGATTATAGAAAAAAAACCTTGCTCTTAGGTACTATATCTTTCATGTACTTTGGAAGGGGAGAGTGAAAGGCACTATTTAGGCAAGGAAAATAGATTCTACTATGAAAAAGGAGATAAGTGAAGTAGTTCAGTTCCATTATCCCTTAAATACTTTAACAAACTAATAACTTATTTGTAATTTTATGTTAAAATCCCAGTTAAAACACTTAAGAAAGTAATAATCACTGAAATCCAAAGGAGATTTACTATCTTGACAAAATTAATTTGTATCTTAAAGGATAGGTTCTTAAGATCTTTATTAATAACCCCAAACATATGTTAATTATATCTACCAGCAATACTGTTAATTTTCCCCTTTAAATTCTGTGTAGATATAAATAAAATCTTTATTTTATCCCAATAGAAAAATTTCAGGTTGTGAGAGAAAAATATCTACTGTCTTTGTGTATGTATATGCCAGAAATTTCTTACAGATTTTCATTGTCAGTCAGTCAACAGGAGGAACTATTTATTGGAGGGATTGTTTGAGAAAAACATAAAATTAGGAGGTTATTTACAAACAGATGTGGTATTTTTGAACCATATCTGTACGTTAACCAACATTGCTTGCTGAGCTATTTTGTAGTCTGGAATTGTGCATAGTAATATTCACAAGCAAACTGAAAGTTGAATCCTGCTAATCCTACCAATACACTGGGGTAGAACTTGAACCCTTAGCCTTGCTGGTGATTTTTACCTTTTTTGAGATTATGAACCTCTTTGAAAATCTGTTACAGTATATGGACCTCTCCTCTCAAAAATGTATTATGCACACATAAATAATTTTGCATTCCCTTTGAAAATTTCTGAAAAAATATACAAGAAACTCCAGTGATTGCCTGAAGAGAGAGGAACTGGAGGACAAGAGTGGGAAGGAAGACTTTTTAATATTTTCTTTTATACTGTTTTTGAAGTTTTTAAACCAGGTATATATCTTACATATATATATATATATATATATATATATATATATATATAATTTTTTTTTTTTTTGCGGTATGCGGGCCTCTCACTGTTGTGGCCTCTCCCGTTGTGGAGCACAGGCTCCAGATGTGCAGGCTCAGCAGCCATGGCTCACAGGCCCAGCTGCTCCGCGGCATGTGGGATCTTCCCGGACCAGGGCACGAACCTGTGTCCCCTGCATCGGCAGGCGGACTCTCAACCACTGTGCCACCAGGGAAACCCTATATATATATTTTAATGTGTTTTCTTAAGTCACAATGTTAAAAATTTTTGTACACAATTTTGGGTTCTGTAATTCTTCCCCCTACAATCAATTCCTCAATTTCAAAATCTTCTTAAACTTTTGTAAACAATGTGTAGTAGGAATAACTTTTTAAAGCATTCAGTTTAAGGATTTTTTTTTTTTTCAAAGTTAGGCTGTAAAGGTAACTGTGCTCCAGTATGTTGCTTACTGTGAAGGAAAGAACTATATTCTATTTCAATTCATATGATATCTTGCTTGATTCCTTTAGGAAAGCCTCTATGAATGTATGGTGATAGAGGGGCTTTCTTCTAAGGGAAAATTGCCATACATACAACTGACAAAGATCTTAGAATTAGTTTAGTCTAGTGTTTTTTAAATTTGGAGATTCTAATTCTGTAGATCTGGGACTGGAGCCAGAATCTGTATTTCTGACAAGCTTCTTATGTGATTCTGAAGGGTTAGGAGATGTAGGAATTAGTAATCTAGTACACACTATTACGCTTTACTGACTGCAAAAACTAGTTGCTAGGATTCATACTACTGACTTAGTTAACATCTGTGTGAATATAAGTAAGCCCCATTCGCCTTTTGAGGGGCTTGGAAAAGAGGAAAGTAAAAAGCCAAAGGGAGTGACAAGGTCATCCCTTTGCACTCTTGATAGCTATTTCTGAGGTGTGCTGGGCCCTGGAGATTACAGATCAGAGGTTGTTTTATGCCAAAACTGGCCCAAAGTCTTAAAGCTTTTGGAAAAACTCCAAGGGTAAATAATGGGGTGCTTTAGAAATGAGGCTCTACTTACATTTAGGGAGAATGGAAAGCAGGATTGGATTAAATAGTACTTGTTGAGGTTATGGATTAGTGATTAGTAATTATTTTCTTTAAAAAATGTTTTAGGATGATTTCAGTCTTTAGCATTTAAGTGTAGCTGTTTCAACAAAACATACTATTTTTATTAAAAACAAAAATTTTTGAAAAAAGGAAGTGATATGTGGAAGAGCATGACCTAGAAAACTTAAAGGTCATCTGGGCCGACCATCTTTTCCAGTTGCCCGCCTTAGAGAAACCTGGTTATTTGGATCATGTGGCATAAGTAAGCCACCATTGCCCTTTTAATGACCACATATAATATTATAGGCAGAGTACCTAGGAGGAAATAACTGCTTCATGAGTACTGGACCTGTACACCTGAAAGACTTCCTTGAAAATCTTAAGCCCTTTGTTCCTCAAAGGAAAAAAAAATGCCAAAGCAAAATCCATGAACCAGAAAACCCAAACTACTCACCATGCTCAAGCACAGAGTTTAAAATAGCAAAAGGAAGTAAAGCCCATCTCTGTGACATCAAGTGCTATTTTGGTATACGGCAAAATAGTTGAATTATAAGTCCTTCAAAGTTAAAATATTAAACAGACCCTTAGCTATAAGATGTGTTGCCAGGCATCTGTATGGAATATAACCATGTAATCAGAGTGTATTGTACTTCTCCACACAAAGAGAACCAAAGCTACTGCTTCTAAAGATTAGGAAACTTTCATTAGACTGACAGAAGACAGTACAGAGGAAATGGCTTGGGGGTGGAGGAGATGTATGAGAGAGGATGAAAGGAACAGCATTCATACTATCCAAATTAGAGCCAGGATGTTTATGCTCAAATCTTGTCTTGGCTCTGTGTTGAGGAGACTGAATAATGGGGACATGGGAAAGTGTATCTCTGAGATCCCTAAATTAGGCACGAAATACACCAAATTCTTCTTATAAACGCTTCTTATTTGCAGCAGTCTCTGCACATTTCTGAATATATATTGTGATTAAAATCCAAACCCAGCTAATGCTAATGATTCCTTCCTCTCTTTTTGTTGCTGGTATCCTTTCTAAAGATGTTATTTCATTCTGTTGTTTACAAGTCACATGCCTCTACTGAATTGTAACCTTATGAGGAGTGTTTATATTTATCTTTCATTTATTCAAATAGCATATATTTATTGTGCACCTCTTTCATGCTGGGCACTGTGTTAGGCACATAGGCTACAGTTTTTAGCAAGATAGGCCTAGTCCGTGTCCTCATAGAGCTTATACCTCCCTTAGCACCTTATACATAGTTGGCTTTTTTTGTCAAGTGATGTGGACATTAGGTTAATGCAAATCACTAAATTAATACCATTTAAAATAGCTTTAAAAACATTTCAGATGTCAGTGTCTCTAATAAATCTTTGGCTAGTATTAAGATGAACTAACACTGACATCAGTGGAGTTTAGACTCAAGACTATATTTAGAAAAGCTAAGGGATGTTACTTTTATTTCTGAAAGAGAATATCTAATTAAGGTTTTTCTTAGGAATTAAAAAAGTTTGACGCATAGTTTGCAAAGCATTGGCAAACAAAAAGAACAACTATTTGTATGTCATTATTGCTCTCTTACTTTTCTTTAGCACATGTAAGAGACAGCAGCAGCAGTAGCTGCCAGAGATGAAAACCGTTACTATCCTGGGTCTGAAGAGAGAACATCTTGATGCTTTCCAGTGAGTTGGCTTTCTTTACAGGTGTCACGCACAAGAAGAACAAGACTTTAATAGAAGTTTTAATAGTTTTGGAAGTGGGAAACTTAAGTACCTCTGTACAGAGCTTGGGAGCTGCAGGTGGAATTTGCCTGGAGCATTGTTAAGTTTTGTGGCTTGTGTTCCCTGAGGATTCTTCTACATGACTTCTCTTGTTGCTTGTGGAGGGTAGAACCACCCTAATTTGAGATTGGAGAAGACTGGAGAAGGCTCAGTCCATCCAGATAGCCCAAGTCTCCTGAAGGGTTCAAGCATGTCAGTGAACTTTTTGAGTTTGGAGTAAAGTTTGTTTTGATTTCCCTAGTTTCAGGTTTTCTCCTGTGTTTACCAGTAGAGAAATGAAAATCTTGGGTTTTCCTTATGTAGAACCAATTCACTTTACCAAAGACTGACATATTTTTCACACATAGACAACTATGTAAGGCCTTCTGCTAGAAAGGCCAAACATATGCTCTGGCACCAATTTTATTGAGATAAAGCATTAATACTAGTAATTCATGTTAATATCCTTTTTTGGCAAAGGAACAATAGACTATCAGTTTGGTTCTTGCCACTTTTTCTGTTGGATCAAGAACAAGTTAAATTATCTTCAAGATGTATCAATATCTTAAACTCCCCATTTTTTTTCCCCCCATTATTTTTGACGCTTGCCCTGCAACTGAGTAAGTACTTCTTTAGGGTATGTGACAGTTGAATTGGCTTGGGCTTTGGAAACATGTCTTGGCCTTAGAGTCTGTTTATGGTCATTCTTTTTTTGAAAAAACAAATTTTATTTATTTATTTAGTATATTTATTTATTTATTTATTTTTGGCAGTGCGGGCTTTCTCTAGCTGTGGCAAGTGGGGGTTACTCTTCGTTGTGGTGCGCAGACTTCTCATTGCAGTGGCTTCTCTTGTTGAGGAGCACAGGGTCTAGGGTGGGCAGGCTTCAGTAGTTGTAGCACACAGGTTCCGTAGTTGTGGCTCGCGGGCTCTAGAGCGCAGGCTCAGTAGTTGTGGTGCACGGGCTTAGTTGCTCTGAGGCATGTGGGATCTTCCCGAATCAGGTATGGTCATTCATATACGTTTGCTCCTACAAAATGTAACTAGGTTTGTGAAAGTCAATTTTGTGCATTTCAACATTAAGTTCTATTTATAGTGACTTATGGGATGAGAAATTGGGCTACATGGCTTCCTAACATCCCACCAAGTATGTATGGGTTTCGATTTTAAGTGATTTGCATTATTCTTTTACAAGTGGATAGTCATACTGAGTTAACAATTTCTTTAAGAATTCCGCTAATAAATCACAGATTCTCACTGCTAGTATTACATTGCTTTTTCTTTAATGACACCCTTTTCCAGTTTTTGGTTTTGCAAGCTAATGGAGTATTTAAAACAAATTCTCAGAATGCCCTTAGAACTTTCGGTTCAGACCAGACGCCTTGGAACCCTAGTGCTTTCAGAGTTCTTCCGCTACTCCTGCAATACCAAATGTAGCTTCTTTTAGCGTCTTTTTGGGTTTTGCAGGGCTCCCCTAGCCTAGGGCTGGGAGAGCGGAAAGAGCTCATCGGTTAGTTTGAAGGCAGGCGGGCTGTACAGGCAGCTTTTCCCAGACTCTCCCAGCTCCGGCTTTTCATGCATACCAGCAGAGCCGCTTTTTTCCTCCAGTGATTGAAACCATCTGGACTGCAGGGGGGTCACGTGTGTATGAGAAAATGACATAAAGTTTCAGACCCCCTTGTGCTTTGCTCCAGACCCAGACAATTCTTGGTCGGATGGTCCGAGGTGAGGGCCGGTCCAGTTTGAGGACCAACTCCTCACCCTGCCCCCGCGCCCTGTCTTCCCATCCCCAGCGCCCTCCCTTCCCCCTTTGCGCACTCTCAGCGCGGTTTTCTTGTTCCCTCCAGAGCCTCCGAGCACAACCCCTCCGCCAGGCTCCAGCAGCCCACCCTTTCTGTCTCGGGTGGAGGCACACCTCCTCCACGCCCCCCTCCGCTCAAATCTGTGCTCCCTCCCTTCCCTCTCCCTCCAGCCCGGCCGCAGCCCTGGGCGCGGATGCCCGCCCGACGACCGCCCTCTCTCCCGGAGCGGCTCCTCCTCCGGGCTGCGCGGCTGCAGTCAAGCCCCCATCCGTGCGAGCGCCCAGCCTGGCTGGGGAGCGCAGAGGTAAGTGCGTCCGGGCCGCCGCCCCGGCTTTCCCTGCCCGTCTTCTCGCCGGGAGGTTGCTTGCTTGTCCCAGTGCCCTTGCTCCAGGCCGGGTGGCGGGCAGGAGGGCCGCCGGTTCCGGCTCTGCGTCTGCCGCGCCCTGCCCTGCCGCTGCAGTCCTAGCCCTTTTCCCGCTATTCACCACTCCTCGCCCCGGAGGTGTTCCAGCTCTGGGAGTGTTTGCGTTCGGGGGCCTCTGAAGGCGCAGACGAGTTGGGCTGCTGGGGGCTGCCCTCCGGACGGTCGTGGCTAGCCCTACTTCCCGGCTCCGCTGGGGCGCGCAGTTAGGGGTGGGGAACATGGAGCCGAGGGTCTGGGGAAGTGCGGAGCTGTGGTGTGCGACGAGGAGCCCGAAGTCCGAGCGGTCCTGGGAGTAGGCTCTGTGCGAGCCCCTGGACGCGCCCGGGCTGCTCTGCAGCTCTTACCTGGAGCTGTGGTAGTTTGTGTGCAGGCTCCTTCAAGAACACACACACACAACTCAAACAAAGGAAAATGAACTTCGCACTCTATTACTTTGATTACCTTTCCTTTCTCGCCCTTGTTCTGAAGTGCACTAAGTATTAAAAGTGTAGTGTTAAGTGACCCAAGACTAAAGGACCACACTTCAGCCAACGTTTTATGCCACCTTATTAAAGAATTCAGTAGTTTGTAGAGTTCAAGAGACTGAACGTTTTCAAGTGTTTCTAGAGAGAGATTATTGCATTTTCCTGTGGTCTTTATGAGAATGTGGTTTATAATTACTTGAACCTGAGTAGAACAACTAAGTGAGAGAATTGGCCTTAATGCTGCCTTAGTCCAGCTCTTATCCCCATGCAGGTGTTTCTGCTGTTTGGACCACAGGGTCTTGGGAATGGTGAAGGGGTCATTATCCCATCTCCAGGGCTGTTTTGAGCTATCCCTTATGTGCACATACGTCAATTGGCCATCTTAGGACGGGCCACAAGGTTAAAACCCAAGTGACTGTATTACTGTTTGTTTGTTTTTTTCTCCAAGTAATATTTTCAGAAAGTGAATCCCTTCACTGATGAGATTTTTCAGAAATAGGGGTTTCTAATGGATCAGAAATAGTCTAGGTTCCAGAAAGCTAATCAAAGGTAGAGACCAGATTGCTCTTAATCTGTCTCCCATGGTGAATTAAGGGCAGCACAAAGCAAGGGCTCAAAAAGAACCTGTTGAATGCATGGAGTGAATTAAAGCTTCTTGGACTCTGCCAGCTTGGCTGAGAGTCCCCCTGTGACTACATAGATGAAGGCTTCATTTTCATTTACCCCGTAAGTATTACCCTTGGAAAAACTCTCCAAGATACGGGCGAGATTTGGTCAAGTGTATGTGGGAAGTGGTATTATCCCCTAATTGGGCCAGAAGGGCAACCATTATTGGTAGACAACCCCAAGGCAACTGAATCTTCAAAGTATTTTTCATTGAACACTTACATTGTTATTGGCTTGACAATTGATAAAAACTTTGCTCTTGTGTTGGTGGACTCATCGGGGAAAGAGGAGTGACACATAAGAGAACAATAAAAATTTTAGATCCATTGGCTTAGACTATAAGAACTATAGAAGCTCAGAGGAGAAAATGATTATGAGCCAGGGTAGTTTCATAGAAGAGAAAAGGTTTCAATTAGGCGTTGAAACAAAGCATGGTTCTGAAATTAGTGGAAAGTTGATGGGGAGAATTTTCAAGAGAAGAGAGAGTCGACCTTTTGGATTGGAGCTAGGGAAAGAAGTGATGCTTACTGAGCATCTACTCTGTGCCATATGCCATGTTCTCTCTTCCATCTTCTAGTGCTATGAAGTAGGTATTGCTGTTCTTGTTTTAAAGAGAAATGATCAAAAAGATAAGCAACCTGTTCAAGATCACACAAATAGTAAGAGGTAAAGCTGGAATTGCAGCTCCCTGAGGTCTGATTCTAAAGCTTGTGCTTCCCCAGCTGCCTTCCACAATGGCAGTGGCAGGTTCAGTGGAAGCAGACTGGTCAGCTTGAATTCTGGCTCAGGAGCTGGAACTTTATCCTGTAACGTTGTCTAGCTTCTAAAGATTTTTGAGAAAAGAAGTGATGGGCAATGTTTTTAGATTAATGTGACATCTGTGTACAGGAAGGTGACACACTCATCTTAGGTAAAGTGCAAGATGTAGTTCTTAATTAGCAGGTTAAAGAAAGTGAGTGTAGTCAGGATATCTGGGTGTGTAAATTCCTGCCCCGTTTCCCGTATCCTTCCATGGCTTTGTTCACTAGGTAAGAATGGGTTGCACAGACCACAGGGCTGCCAGGGATCAGAGAAGAGCTGGGTCCGAGCAGGTGAGCGTTGACATGGAACGTGTATGTGAAGCAGCACGACTGCCGGTTTGTCATTTATGTTCCCCATGTGTTTTTCAATGCTTTGGTTAAAAATTGTTTTCTTTCCTGACTACCCTGGGATGTAGATCAATGTTGTAATTTGTTTAAAAGCCTTTCCTAAGTGGCAAAGTTGAGCTCCCAAACTAGGGCCTCTGCCCTAAAGATGTTTAAGTTGAGATGCCCTTTTCCCCCCAACATTCTGTTGCTTCTTATAAATGCTGAATTTTTTTTTTTTTTTTTTTTTTTTGCGGTACGCGGGCCTCTCACTGTTGTGGCTTCTCCCGTTGCGGAGCACAGGCTCCGGACACACAGGCTCAGCGGCCATGGCTCACGGGCCCAGCCGCTCCGCGGCATGTGGGATCTTCCCGGACCGGGGCACGAACCCGTGTCCCCTGCATCGGCAGGCGGACTCTCAACCACTGCGCCACCAGGGAAGCCCATAAATGCTGAATTTTAAAACTTGGCACTAGCAAGGTAAAAATGAATTGAGATTACCTTTCTTATTAATAAGACCAATTAAGAGAAAATGTACATTTATTTCACTTTTTGTTATGGAGGAGCAATAGAATGCCTTGGGGTAGTTACTGTGTGGGAATTTAGAAGGGATAGGAAAGCCAGGATTTAGAGATGTGCAAAGCTCTTTCTACCTGGCCACATTTCTTACCAGTTAATTGTGTTATTCATGTGTACAGCTAGGGAGCTTACAGGGCCATAGACTATCCAAGTTTATAGGCAGGCCCTTTGATTCTCTGCAGATAATGGGCTCAGGAAGGGCAGCAGTGGGTGGAGCCATTTTGTTGGAATTGTCTCCCACTTTGAATGAATACAATCTAGATTTCTTGCTCTTCCTTGTGCAACCTCTAGGCCTTTTCCTCCTCTGAATGTGTCAGTGCTCTGAAGACTTGGTTCTTAGGCCAAGGAATATCAGGTAACAGGAGGCTGCACAAAAAAGGGCAGCTGACGGAAAAATCAAGTTTGTCAACTAGAGAAGTTTTAACTAATGTTAGAGTCAACCATTTTTTTTGTAAAATAAAAAAATGCAAAACCAAAATTTGATCTCAGTTCTCCAAATAGGAGCCTCTAACTGGAGAGCTTGCCCTATTGAATGAGGCTTTGGCGTGTAAAATTCTCACCAGCACCTCTAAATGTGTCAGGACATGACTCAGTTTGGGTTTTGGACCTCTGAGGAATGTGACCTCTTGGTGTAGGGGATTTAGAGTCCAAAGATATGGGTTAAGGTTCCAGCTTTGCCATTTATTTAGAAGTGTCTGGAATTCGATGTTGGAGGGATTTCTTAGCTCAGTTTATCTATTTCTTCTAGATCAGGGTAATCTCCCAGGATGAACTGTAGTTCATGCCCTGATAAATCCCTTGGTTCCTTCTCCCATTTTGTATCTTGTATCACCTGAAAGCCATTTTGTTTTATCTGTAGCCTGTGGTTATAGATGAGAAAGGAAAACCATCTAGGATTCTCTCCAGAGAATGGCAGATCTCATTGTTAGTTTACTGGTGATCTTTTGGTATGGATTTCTGTGAGAATGCCCTTGAGGTTAGTTTTGAGAGTTGGGGTCTCAGAAAGAGACTTTGGCAGTGCTCTTGTTTAAATGTCAGAGATGTTTGGTTGCATTTTTGGCTCATTGCTTACACAGTTGTTAATGTTTTTATATTTCGTAAGCATCTGTCATTTTTATAATTTATTAAAAGAGCGATTTAGATTTTCTAAGATAGCTAAAAGCTTAGAAAAATAAGACTAGAATATCCTTTTGATACTCAGATGTAATCTCCTAGTATAGTAGAACCACTTGACTATTTTAACCCACTCCATCTCCAAATATCCTTAAATCTCCACCTCCAAATATCCTTAAATTTTTCTCAAGAGATTTGCTCTCTCTCAAGAGACTTCGCAGCCTCTCCAGGAAATGTTTTCTGATCTTTCCAGACTGATGATCACAGATTATCTCCTTGTCGTTAGCCTGAGTTTTCTTTTAGTGTTTCTTACTTTTACTGTTTTCCCATCCCTCTTCAATGCATAGTTGTTCACAGAGTGGACAAATGGTCTTTCCTGGACCCTAACGTCAGCTACCAAAAGTGCAGATTGTTCCTTCTGTACCCATCCTTCCCTTCCCTTTCTCTGGCTAAACAAGCTGAGCTTTCTCCGTTTAAGTCTTGCTTTTTAGACCGATGATTATACTTGTTGTTTTGTGTGTTGTTTTATGCAGGAAGTCAATATCAGATATGTTGGCAATTAGAGCTTTCAGATTGAAGGGAGCCTTTTGGAAATAAAATGTGCTTTTTTTCTCCCCTATCAGCATGAGTAATTGTGGAACATATGTAAACTCTGGAGATGATCTTTTTAAAAAAAATTATCAACAAAAGAATTTTGCCCAAGTCCTTTAAGGACTTAAAAAGAATCCAGCCTTTGCAAGATTGCACTAAAAGTACCAGAGTAACCCAATTAAGGCCTTTCTAGAAGTGTGGGAATCATTTGTTCAAACCGGAATTTAGGACCCCCAAGCAAATATGATAGAAATAATCTGCTTAACCCTTTATTAATAGCATAAGAAAGAAAACCCTTTTTAATGGACCTCTTGTGATAAAGGGCCATAGTGATTAGAACATG